ACCCCTAGCGACCCGTCTACTCTGGCAGCAAAGTCCATTAGTGCCCCAGGGTCCACAGACTCTGGCACTCTGCAGAGTCTTATATTTCTCCTGCGGTGCTTGGCCTCCAGTGTCGTGACTGTTCTGGACATTCTCTGTATTTGCTGGGACATGATGTGCAGCTGTGTTTGGGTCTCGGTGAGCCAGCCTTCTCGCTCATCTTCCAGGGATTCTACTTCTTCTATGCGGTGTGTCAGGGTGCTTACTTCAGCCTGCACTCCCGCAAGATCGGCCTTCCACACTGCACATAGGTCCACAAGCAGTTGTTTGATGTCCCCTTTGGTCGATGGGGATATATCTGCATCCGAGTCTGCTTTTTGGTGAACCCTGCTATGAGTAAGAGAGCCATCCGTTGCGCTTGAGCCTCGTGTGTTGTCGGGGGCCATCTTGGGTTGGGCCTGATGCCGCGGCTCGTTGAAGGATCTGGTTGGTAAAGGCTCTCCGAGTGGGCCAGCTTGCAGTGCTTGCGTCCCATCTCTGTAGGGAAGGTATGGGCCAAGGTTTGATTTGATTTTTTTGTCGTTTTTGGTAGTTTAAAGTCTATTTTTAGGTTCTATGGAGCCGGAGCTCTGCAATAGTGGGTCTAGTTGGTTGCTCCGCTGGCCACGCCCCTTATCTTCTTTTTATTGTGTTTTATATGCACTTTTACATTTTTTATTCTTCCTGGCATTTTTATCCGTTCCTGTTCTCCAGGCAATCTGAGGTGGGGATCATTCTACCAACACTTTAATATAGAGCAGTGTTTCCTGCTCTAGACTTGTGAGTATAATTTAATTTATTTTATACCATATTTTATCATATTGAGAGCACTATTATTGTCTTTCTATCCTAATTTGGAGCCCTGGATATCCAGACTGCACTGACGGACGTACCTCTCCTGCATATCCCGTAAGCATGGATCATACCGCTGTACGCCTTACACTCCAGAGCTGGTTATAGCTCTTGCATATGTGAGTGTACCTTCTACTTTTTATTAATGTTTTATCTCTGGATATCGACTTTTTGCACTATTGGCTGTTCTGTATCTCCATTTTGTCTCCCTACATAAGCGAATACTCCTAGACACTTGGACGGACCTACCCCTTAGGAAAGTCTCCATAAGTGCTGCAATTCTACCCTGCTGCTCTAGTGAGACTTTATTTTAACTATTTCTTCCAACTTATTGGCGCAGCCTTCTTTGTTTTTTTTGTACTATTTCATGTCCCTTTGTATCTGTTGTACTAAAAAGAGATTTGTCTAAATCATGTTCTTTATAAATTTCATTCTAAAATCTTTTTTTCTTTTCAGTGCTTGTTCTTCGTATTTGGTTATATCTGTGCAGTTCCTCCGTAGTCTTAAAAACTGGGACTTAGGGACTGCTTTCAACCATGGGTTGAAATGATAGCTCATGGTTTGGGTGTAACTATTAACATTAACAGACTTAACTAGGTACTTGTTTTGATAAGTCCATCCTCTATAAAAATTTCCTGGTCTAAAAAAATAACCATAGAGGTGCTAAAATTTACTGTTACAAAAATACCCCAAACACTGGAGTTTAAAAAGTTGATAAGAAGGTTAAAATCACCTCTATTGCCTCTCCATATAAACAAGAGGTCATCTATGTAGTGGTGATAAGTGACCAGGTTCTCCATCCAGCCATGCCCATGGTAGACAAACTGTTGTTCCCAATCAACCATGAAAAAATTGGCATAGCTGGGCTCGAGCATGGTCCCCATTGCCATCCCACATATCTGGAGGTAATAATCCCCACTAAACCAAAAGTAGTTATTGGTTAAGATGAAAAGAATACCCTCAATGATGTAGTCAGTTTGTTCCTCTGGAAATTGGCCTGAGCTAGTTAAATTGTTTCTTACAGCTGAGCAGCCCCTTGCATGGAAGATAATAGTATACAAGTAGCTGACATCAGCATTAACTAGGATATCATCCTCTCTCCAAGATATATTTTGTAACATCTGGCGAATACTGCTTATTCTGATTATATCTTGATTTTATTGCCGCTGTCATTTTAGTTTGGTAGCTTTCAACACCAGGAGTCCCTTAGGAAGTCCTTACAGGACGAAACATGTATTTTTTTACTTTTAATAATAAAGCAGAATTGTATCCATTTATCCTGAATCCCATATCTCATCATCTCTGAAGGCAAGAGGAGTGGATTTGGCCCCCCTTTCCATCAGGAGAGGCACCTTTGGGTGATGTATTTTCATCTATCATGTGAGTGTTACTCATTATATCACATTTATAGATCTAAAGCTGTATCCTCTTTTGTTTGCACCCACATGGTATTTTAAGGGATAATTGCTGGGATATCCCTGGAGGAAGCTGTCACCACTATCCAATGAGTTAAGTGTTGTTTTCACTTCCCTATTACTTTTAGGTGTTAGTGATTATATATATATATATATATATATATATATATATATATATATATATATATTTTCTTTTATATACATCTGGAGATTACTACCTGTATCTCTCAGGTAACTCTGAATTTTTGGAACCGTCGGTTGGAGACACTTTTCAATATACTCAGGGAGTCTACTAGTTATGGATCCTATACCCGACAGTATGGTTTTACCAGGGGGTTTAATTGGATCCTTATGAATCTTTGGTAAATAGTAGAAAACAAGTGTCTTTGGAAACCTGGTGTCTATATAAGCAAGTTCCTGTCTTTTTTGTAGAAATTTATAAAATTTCTCTTTAATATTATAAGATCTCCTTTTCATTTTTTATATGTAGTCGTGTCACCCAGGAGTCTTAAGGATTCACTAGTATAGTGATCTTGAGGTATGAGGACCACCCAACCCCCCTAGTCTGCCATTTTTATTATTAGTTGTTTATCTTTCTCTAATAGTCTCAATGCTTACTGTTCATTTGGTGATAGATTTTTTTGGTATTTGTTGGGTGTCTTAATTTTCTCAATATCTTTCATAATTAGTTGTGACGAGACCAATCTCGCCACATTGCATTGGAGAAGCCTGGTTGCTCGCCTGCTGCCTTTGGACTATGGCCCCTTGTTAAAAGACATATTTTTTACCTGCAGAAAAGCTTCATTCGTGCTTTTCTGCCTGGGGTTCGGTAGATTTGTTTGAATGTGTTATACCCCAGATAGGAATCCCATGGAGCCCATTCGTATGAAACTGACTGTAAAGACTTTGGCTCCATGGCGATTAAACTGTATTCGTGTGGTCTGAGCGCCATTCGCTTAATAATGTGCGCTCAGACCTGAGCTATCTGGGGATATGTTAAATGTCTGTGTGTTATGTGTAAAAGGTGACTTTATGTATTTTAAAGTGTTTTACTGTCTTTGTGTCACCATGTGCATAATGGAGTCTTGTCCCTGTCCTGGGAGATAATTGAATTACTTCTCACTTATCTCCAGGGCAGAGGAGAGGAAGCCAGGATGCATTGTGTTAAAAGGTATGTGTATTGGGTTACCTCTCAGGATAAGGGGAAGGGAATCTGTGGGTTGTAACTAATATGTTACTGGATATTTTATACCTCCCTGTGGGCAGTCATGTATTTGCAAGACTGTAATAAAAACCAGGCTGGGTGTGCCAGCACCTCAGACCACTGCTTGACCCTTAACACGGAGCCTTGTCTCGTTCTTGGGGGGATTCACTGTATGCTGTTAGAGACTGATTGCCAGGAGTGTAAGCTGTCTGCTTTTCCTGTTCGTCTGCTAGCAGCTATTTGGGAGGTTCCAGTTCGGGAGTTGGAGTGCTATGTTGTATCCAGTTCGTGAGTTTTGGTGTTCTGCAAGAGCTGTGCCTGTATCTCTGGAAAGGGGGCTGATCGCCTAAACGGTTTTTACCCCTTGTGTGCAAAACGGTCCGTTACAATTGGTGGCAGCGGTGGGATCGTTCCCACAGACAACAGGACAGCTACAGGCGACACCATTCCGTGGATTTACAATTTGAGGGCAACGCATGTCTGAGTACAGCGACCCTGACAGCAACAGCATGGAACCAGCAGTGGAGTACAGATACTCTGTACAGGAATTTGACCGTATGATGTGGTTGAGGCTGAACTTCTACAGGCCTAATCCATCTGAGAAATCCGTGAAGTTCGTGAGGAGTCTAGTATTCAAGACTCTGCTGTACCGGGCAGAGGGTGACGGTCAGCTGCCACGGTGGGTGGACCTCCACCGGCAGCTACAGTTGCGGGACAGAGAGAGCCCAGTCTCCTCTCCCCAGCGGCAGTGTGATATGCAAGGAATTGGGAGCCCAGTCTCCATTCCCCAGCGGCAGTGTGATATGCAGGGAATTGGGAGCCCAGTCTCCATTCCCCAGCGGCAGTGTGATATGCCGGGAATTGGGAGCCCAGTCTCCATTCCCCAGCGGCAGTGTAAAGTGCAGGGAGAGGAGAGCAGCGTCCTCCCTCCCCAGCGGCAGGCTGAGTTACAGGGGGCAGAGGTAGTTGTTCCTGCCCCCCAGCAGCCAAGTGATATGCCGGGAAGGCAGTGTGAAGTCCAGGGAGAGGAGAGCAGCGTCCTCCCTCCCCAGCGGCAGGCTGAGTTACAGGGGGCAGAGGTAGTTGTTCCTGCCCCCAGCAGCAGAGTGATATGCCGGGAAGGCAGTGTAAAGTGCAGGGAGAGGAGAGCAGCGTCCTCCCTCCCCAGCGGCAGGCTGAGTTACAGGGGGCAGAGGTAGTTGTTCCTGCCCCCAAGCAGCAGAGTGATATGCCGGGAAGGCAGTGTAAAGTGCAGGGAGAGGAGAGCAGCGTCCTCCCTCCCCAGCAGCAGGCTGAGCTACAGGGGGCAGAGGTAGTTGTTCCTGCCCCCCAGCAGCAGCGTGATTTTTTTGGAATTGGGAGCCCAGTCTCCATTCCCCAGCGGCCGAGTGATGTGCCGGGAATTGGGAGCCCAGTCTCCATTCCCCAGCTGGAGATACAGCAGGGAATTGGGAGCCCAGTCTCCATTCCCCAGCGGCAGAGTGTCCTACCGGGAATAGAGAGCCCAGTCTCCTTTCCCCAGCAGCAGGACACTGTATTGGGAGCGGAGACAGTCGGTCTCCCTCCACAGAGGATGAAAGTATGTATGGGAGAGGAGCTTGCTACCACCTCTCCCCTGCGGTGGATCATTAATGGGCAGGGAATAGAGAGCTCAGTCTCCTTTCCCCAGTGGCAGAGTGTTCTATCGGGAGAGGAGCCTGTTACCCCCTCTCCCCAGCGACAGCTTAGAGTATCCAAAGGGGAGACAGTCGGTCTCCCCCTCCGGCAGCAGAGCTGTGCAACAAAAGGGGAGACAGTCGGTCTCCAGCAGCAGAGCGGTGTATCTAAAGGGGATACAGTCGGTCTCCAGCAGCAGAGCGGTGTAGTTAAAGGGGAGACAGTTGGTCTCCCCCTCCAACAACCAGGCTTCAACCAGGCTACCCTCCCAGTAGCGCTGGCAACAGGGCAGAGTGCCGCTGGTCTCTGCCCACGCAGCAACCCACCCAGTCAGCGTACACATACCCAGCACAGCCGTGGTGAGGCACCTGGACATGGACAAGCTTCTCCTTTACCCAGGTGTAGTAACCATTTATTGTGGGTGGGCTGTGCTGTTGATTATGTTCTGCTGGACTAACAAGGGCACTGACCGGCAGGAGGTCAGATACCCTGTTAGTCTGTTTGGAAAAGGGGAGAGATGTGACGAGACCAATCTCGCCACATTGCATTGGAGAAGCCTGGTTGCTTGCCTGCTGCCTTTGGACTATGGCCCCATGTTAAAAGACATCTTTTTCCCTGCAGAAAAGACTTATTCGTGCTTTTCTGCCTGGGGTTCGGTAGATTTGTTTGAATGTGTTATACCCCAGATAGGAATCCCATGGAGCCCATTCGTATGAAACTGACTGTAAAGACTTTGGCTCCATGGCGATTAAACTGTATTCGTGTGGTCTGAGCGCCATTCGCTTAATAATGTGCGCTCAGACCTGAGCTATCTGGGGATATGTTAAATGTCTGTGTGTTATGTGTAAAAGGTGACTTTATGTATTTTAAAGTGTTTTACTGTCTTTGTGTCACCATGTGCATAATGGAGTCTTGTCCCTGTCCTGGGAGATAATTGAATTACTTCTCACTTATCTCCAGGGCAGAGGAGAGGAAGCCAGGATGCATTGTGGTAAAAGGTATGTGTATTGGGTTACCTCTCAGGATAAGGGGGAGGGAATCTGTGGGTTGTAACTAATATGTTACTGGATATTTTATACCTCCCTGTGGGCAGTCCTGTATTTGCAAGACTGTAATAAAAACCAGGCTGGGTGTGCCAGCACCTCAGACCACTGCTTGACCCTTAACACGGAGCCTTGTCTCGTTCTTGGGGGGATTCACTGTATGCTGTTAGAGACTGATTGCCAGGAGTGTAAGCTGTCTGCTTTTCCTGTTCGTCTGCTAGCAGCTATTTGGGAGGTTCCAGTTCGGGAGTTGGAGTGCTATGTTGTATCCAGTTAGTGAGTTTTGGTGTTCTGCAGTAGCTGTGCCTGTATCTCTGGAAAGGGGGCCGATCGCCTAAACGGTTTTTACCCCTTGTGTGCAAAACGGTCCGTTACATTAGTCTTTCAAAGCTGGCCATTTTGTTTGATATTAAATGACTTGGAAAAAATGTGGACTTCTTATCAAGTGTAGTGTAACGGATCACCTGGCACCCCTACTGGGTACCTCCGTTAAAGGATGCTCCTAGCGCTTCCTGAGGACTCCAAGCACTGCAGCAGACACCACAACCACCGAACCGGAGAAGCATATGAATCCTGTACAGCATATGAATGCTGTACACAGTTGAATTGGAACCATACGAATAGGTTTACTCTCCTAGCAGTCAAACTGGAACAGCATACAATAAATCCTTCCCCCAATAATGAGACGACATTTCACTTTGAGGGTTAAGCAGGAACTCCCTGTACTGTCAAACATAGTACAGCCCACAGGGCGTTACAAAACAACCAATCAATCTGTACAATACACCCAGACACTCCCACACAAAATCCTCCCCTCTGCCTGTGATATGATTACTGAACACAATGGGTAATCTCATTATCACCGGCAGAGGAATACAGTTTTTACACAATATTTATAACTTCTAAAATATACATGTCACAAACATAAAACATACATTTTCATAATCAATCCATTCAGGGGAACAACATATTAAAAAATGGCACGAATCAGACCAGGGGTTCAAAAGTTAAGGGAAAGTCCTTTGTGACTAAATGAAGCATGGCTTTCCGGCCCAAACCAGTTTCAGAGTCTTCTATCCTGGAGATTGAATTGAGAAGTAATTCAATTATCTCCCAGGACAGACACAAGACTCCATTATGCACATAGTGAGCACAAAGCATTAAAATATTATAAAATACACAAAGTCACATTTTATACATAAAACACAGACATGTCACATATCCCCAGATAGCTGGGATCTGAGCGCACAAAACTACCGAATAGCGCTCAGATCCTATTCACACAGTTCAATTGCCATGGAGCCGAAGTCTTTAACTACACGAATGGGCTCCATGGCATAGCTATCTGGGTTAACACATTCACATAAAGTCTGGTCCATAGTCCAAAGGCAAGAGGCGGGCAAGCAGCCCCTTCCAAGGACACGTGGCGAGGCCGGTTTTGCCACATTTCTCCCCTTTACCATCCAGACTAACAGGGTATCTGACCTCCTGCCGGTCAGTGCCCTGGTTAGTCCAGCAACCCACCCACGAAGCACAAACAGCAATACAGCCCACCCACAATAACTGGTTACTACACCTGGATAAAACAGCAACTTGTCCATGTCCAGGTGCCTCACCACGGCTGTGCGGGGGGCTGGTAGACTGCCTTGGTGGGTTGCTGAGTGGGCAGAGACCAGCGGTACTCTGCCTGGGTGCCAGCGCTACCACTGAAGTAGCCTGGTTGGAGCCTGGTTGTGGGAGGGGGAGACCGACTGTCTCCCCTCTGGATACACTGCTCTGTGGCTGGGGGACAGGACCAACCGTCCCTACCCCTGGTGCTGCAAGTGCAGAGACTACGGTCCCATCTGCATAGTTGTGGGGCTGAACATCTCCCCTTGGTGGGTTAGGCTGCCGCTGGAGAGAGGGTGTAACAAGCTCCTCTCTCTGAACTGTAGACTGCCACTGGGGAGAGGGGGTAACCTGCTCCTCTCCCTGACACTCTCTTTGCTGGTGGAGAGGGGGACCAACTGTCTCCCCTTTCAATATTTTGTCCTGCGGCTGGGGTGCGAGACAGATGGTCTCTGCTTCCTGGGGTACACACTGCCGCTGGGGAGGAAGGACGGCACCTTCAGCTCCCTGGGGTACACACTGCCGCTGGGGAGGAAGGATGACACCTTTGGCTCCCTGGGATACACACTGCCGCTGGGGAGGAAGGACGGCACCTTCTGCTCCCTGGGGTACACACTGCCGCTGGGGAGGAAGGACGACACCTTTGGCTCCCTGGGACTCACACTACCGCTGGGGAGGAAGGACGGCACCTTCAGCTCCCTGGGGTACACACTGCCGCTGGGGAGGAAGGACGACACCTTTGGCTCCCTGGGACTCACACTACCGCTGGGGAGGAAGAACGGCACCTTCAGCTCCCTGGGGTACACACTGCCGCTGGGGAGGAAGGACGACACCTTCAGCTCCCTGGGATACACACTGCCGCTGGGGAGGAAGGACAGCACCTTCTGCTCCCTGGGGTACACACTGCCACTGGGGAGGAAGGACGACACCTTCAGCTCCCTGGGATACACACTGCCGCTGGGGAGGAAGGACGGCACCTTCAGCTCCCTGGGACACACACTGCCGCTGGGGAGGAAGGACAACACCTTTGGCTCCCTGGGACTCCTTTTTGGCCAAATCTACTAGAGATTGCAGGTATTCTCCTACTAGTTTCCTGGCGAGCTGCACGGCTCTCTCTGGGGGTTGGGTCCAAAGGTAGACAGCACCTCATTAACCTCTCTGTCAAACTCCTCCTGAGTGTAGTCATACGCCATGCTTGCTCTGCTGAAGTTAGTTCTTTTGTAGATAGGGTCGCTGTACGGGTACTAGCGTTGCCCTTAATTTGTAAATCCACGAACTGTGTCTCCGAGCTGCTTTACCTTGCACTAGGACGCCATCCCACCGCTTGCCACCAATGTAACGGATCACCTGGCACCCCGACTTGGTACCTCCGTTAAAGGATGCTCCTAGCGCTTCCTGTGGACTCCAAGCACTGCAGCAGACACCACAACCACCGAACCGGAGAAGCATATGAATCCTCTCAAGCATATGAATGCTGTAGACAGTTGAATAGGAACCATACAAATAGGTTCACTCTCCTAGCAGTCAAACTGGAACAGCATACAATAAATCCTTCCCCCAATAATGAGACGACACTTCACTTTGAGGGTTTAGCAGGAACTCCCTGTACTGTCACATACAGTCTCTTTTATTCCCAATCCGCAAACATAGTACAGCCCACAGGGCGTTACAAAACAACCAATCAATCCGTACAATACACCCAGACACTCCCACACAAAATCCTCCCCTCTGCCTGTGATAAGATTACTGAACAATCTCATTATCACCGGCAGAGGAATACAGTTTTTACACAATATTTATAACTTCTAAAATATACATGTCACAAACATAAAACATACATTTTCATAATCAATCCATTAAGGGGAACAACATATTAAAAAATGGCACGAATCAGACCAGGGGTTCAAAAGTTAAGGGAAAGTCCTTTGTGACTAAATGAAGCATGGCTTTCCGGCATATACATAAAACACAGACATGTCACATATCCCCAGATAGCTGGGATCTGAGCGCACAAAACTACCGAATAGCGCTCAGATCCTATTCACACAGTTCAATTACCATGGAGCCAAGTCTTTAACTACACGAATGGGCTCCATGGCATAGCTATCTGGGTTAACACATTCACATAAAGTCTGGTCCATAGTCCAAAGGCAAGAGGCGGGCAAGCAGCCCCCTCCAAGGACACGTGGCGAGGCCGGTTTCGCCACATGTAGTGTGTATGTATCCATTATCATTAATTGGTGTCCATTATCATTAATTGGTGTCATGGGTCTCATTATTGGATTTTTCAAAAATAACTTCTTCAGACATAAGTTTCTCTTAAATCTGTTAAGTTCCACAAATGTATCAAATTTGTTTAGGCCCTTAGAGGGGACAAATTTAAGGCCAGGTCAGTATGTCCCCCAAGTAAGGGTTAACTTAACAAGTTAGCATCATATTCCTTGTTTAATTTTAACATGATT